TATATTATTTATAATTATTGGATGCCGGTATATTCTTCTGTTCTATAGTTCGCGCTATAGTTCAATGAACTTATTTTCAAATGGCCCTCTGAAATATATCTAGCCTGAACTAGGCTAAATTGGCACCACTGCTGGCGTCACCACTTTTCTATACATTTTGTTGGTGGTTTAAGCAACGAGAATTTGGTTAGCAGCCGTGTGATAAGTAAGACGTAAAGCCACATATATATTTTTATGCAAATAATAATAATTCTTTGGTATAAATTATTTATAGCTGTATACATATATGTATAACTGATATTTACAATAAATCTGAGGCTTTGCATTGAATGAAGTACAGGTATCCAAATATCCTTAAGGAGTATTTTATAATTAATAAACCCTTGGTTGATTTACTCTCTGGCAGGTGCAGTGGGTAGTTGCAATGCATTCGCAGGTGTAGCCGAGGGCATTGCGAAGTCGGTGTACATGGGATAGCGGGGTATAAAGTCATCGGTGCGATTGTGCTCATTCACATCCGTATCCACAAATTTATCTGTTATATTCGTGGCCTGCTCGAATGAGGGCGGCTCTGCAAAGGAATGAGGAAGCTATTAGAAACCGAAGCTAGTTAATAGAAGAAATACTTACTGCAAGTGTCGTAGCTTGGTGGCAGATCGGCGGCAGCACCTGCGGGCGTGTCTGGCGTCTGGGGTATCCATGTGGCAACATTGCTGGGGTTTTCGGCACTCTGAGCCAGGGGCATAGTGCCAATTATAATGGGCGTCTCGATTTCCGAGTCTGTGTGACAGTCTCCCGTTTTAATGGCCATTTTAATCTTATAGGATACGTCGATGATGCGCTGATTCCGGGAAGAGGGCGGAACAGGAGGTATTACGAGACTGGCATTAATTAAGCGCTTGGACAAACGCCGCACACGCTCCGCCTGATACTCCGAGCTGAGAGTGTTTTTATGTGTTCTTGATTTATGAGTGGGCGTACTAGCCCTGAATTCATAGATCTGAATCAAGGATACTTCGATGCCTTCCAAATCGTAGCCATGTGACTGATTATCTATATGCAGGACATAGTGTATGCGCTGACCTGGCGCATAGCCGCCAAAGGGTATAGTGAGGGTTGAGATGACGGGGCCCGAGGAACAGGGCCAGCAGCAAAAGTACTTGATGTCTTCGCTCTTGAGTGGCACCTGAAAAGGTTAAATATAAATCAATAAGATAATTGCTCAACTAAAGACCTAGGGTACTCACTAGCATTTCGGGATACATGTTCAGATTGTAGGTCTGCAGCACGGTCAGGGGCTGCTTGAACTCGTTGTTGAAACGCCAGGAGCGATCGACCACGAGTGATACTTCGTAGGCGATCTTGCCATACTTCTCTACGCACGACGTAGGACACTCCAGTGGAAGGGGTATGCAGAAGGTATAGGTGTGCGTGCCAGCTGGCAATTCGCCCTCGCCAAACACATCGGTCCGAGTGTGCAAATATTGTTCATCGCCACGAAAGTACTCCGTATATGACTGTGTTTTACCGTTAACAGTTCGAGTGCGATGCTCCTCCCAGCGCACCTTCGCCGCTCCCTGGAACAAGATGTAAACAGCTGCAGAGATAAGAGCAGAAATTACAACCGTTAAACATGAGTGAGTTGTGCAAGAAATTGCTGAGCTTCGATATTTCACAATTTACGCTTTGTGCTGTCATTCTGCCGGCTGAGTTTGTTTGCGTGACTCGCACAGTGGTATGGCGACGTTCTATACACTTATTATTTCCATTTACATTTATTAATTATTATAAGATATCACAATTTTTATTTATTTATTTTGTTTTTAGT